AACCTCAGTTCCTTTTATGCATATATGAACAATTTTTTCTTTTTCCCTCATTCTGGCATAATGTCGGCTGGATGCATTATAAACAACAATTACTATTCAGACCTCCCAGCAAGTACTGGGGATTGGGCCCACTGTTGCTTCATTGTACCCGGTGGTAGTCACAATCAATTTAGGGTGACTGTCAGCCAATTTGTTCTGTACAAATAGGGGCTGCTGTATATACAGTTCACCCATGGTAATTGGTTGAGTTTGAATACGTAGAAAGGATCAGAGGGTCATAACAAAGTAAGCGTTTGATTTCACTTGGACTGAATTCTCCATTGTCTTTCATGCCATTGTTCTAATGCTCCATTACAATGTTCCATTGTTCTTCATTTCAAGAAGCAAATAAGACCTCAACCAAAAACAATTCAATTTGTATTGGGTAGAAGGTAACAACGCAGCATGTATTCAACTCTTTATTCATACACCATTAAACCTAGAGTAACACTTATCTAATTTAAAGAAATGTATTTATTAGGGATGCACCGATATATCGGCCGCCATAATATATTTGGCTAAATGCTGAAAGTGCCATTTTTCTGCCGATGTAGCTGTGCAACCGTTCTTTCTCTGGGAAAGAGAAACTGTCACAGGCGGCCGAGCGCTGCGGGAGGAGAGCTCTGTGAGCGGCCGATGTCTCTCCTCCCTCACCGCTCAGCCTCCTATCACAGATCGGCAGAGCGGAGTGTGGGCGGAGACAGCCAGTGCTGTCACAGGATGCGGAGCTCTCCTCCTGCACCCCCCCAGCCCAGCCTCCTATGATATTTGTCAGGATGGAGAGCGAGTACAAACAGTCAGTGATCGATGAGTGTTTGTACATAATTGAGGACATAGTATGTTTCCTATATCCTCAATTATGAATGAATGGGAAGTGATCTACATCACCTCCCGTTTATTCATAATTCTGGATATAGTAAACATACTCTGTCATCATGTTATAAATGAACAGGAACACTCATTATAGAGGATTCCTGTTCATTTATAACAGGGGCTGCAGAAAAAGAGATTGAGGACTCAAAAGGGAAATATCAGGGGTCCGTTTAGACCCCTAATATTTCCCTGAAGCACCTAAAAGTAAAGTAAAAAATAAAAATATTTAATATAAATAAAAATGTAATATAAAAAATTAAAGTTTATAAAAAAATTAATCAACATAAAATATTTGAAAATATTTGAAAAAGTTAGAAAAAAAATTTTGGTTTCCGTTTCGGCCCGACATTTTTTTCATTTTGGCTTCCTTTCGGTTTTAAAATTCTCATTTCGGTGCACCTCTAGTATTTATTTATCTACATATTAATAAAAATGCATTTTGCTTGCTTTTCCTTTGGCCTATTGATTATATTTGATGTGAGTAGACAAATAAAATCTTTCAATGAAAAGTAAACAGGAACTATGCAGTAGCTATTCAGTTTATCTAATAACGATCCCAGCATATAAAATCATGCAGAGGCCAAATGTTCTACTATCATACCTTTAAAGCTGAACTACAGGCAAACAGTTGAATGCATGTGGAGGGACTGCCCCTCTTTTGGATGTGAATCCCTCTGTCCCTTTTTTGGATTCTATGTATATACTTCTATAAAATGCACTATATAATTATCAAAATGTTGTACTGCACTTGCATTTAGTATTTAGAAAAGCGAGTGTAAAGAAAAAGTGATGGTGAAAAAAAAAAGGTTTTGACACTTATTTTGCACATTCTTCACATAAAAGGAGTGTGATACGAGCACGTCAGTTTCCTACATACTTGCAAAATTCAACTTCAAAGGCCTGTGCACAAGAAATATATTGTATGTGATTTTTATTTCCTGTTATCTATTTATAATATTAACAAACATGTGTGTGATAGTATCTTTATCTAGAAATTGAAGAAAAAGGACTGCACACCAATGTCCACTGATCATTAACTCTAATCCATAATGTTCACAGCTTCAAACATGACAGGATTCCTCGCACAAACACCGCCCACCACTGATGCGTTTCACCCTTGTGGGCTTATTTGTAGAGGGCCTGTGCACAAGAAAGATATTTAATCAGATTTGTTTTTGCTGGCATTTATATATAATATTAACACACATGTCTGCAATAATACCGTCATCTCCACAGACATTTAGATAAGAGATTGAATCTAACTTTGATTACTAGCGTCATTTCATCTTCTATGGAATTTTAAGACAGGAAGTCAGCAGTGTGTTATCTCTAATTACAATACCACATTTATTGCAAACATTGATATCCTGCTGGAACTCTAATCAATTGGTCTGTGATAAGAAAATATGTAAATCTGCAGCAGCTGCCATTAGTATTTTCTGAACCCTTAAGCTGAACTCCAAGCAAACAGCTAAATACACAGATGAAATACTTATAAAGGGGATGTTTTATCTGCCAAAAATGATTTGTATTTCTGTCCACCCAGTCCATTCAGTCCATCAGGGATGGAACCTGATCTTTCTCTGTTGCAGTTTCACTTTCGCTTAGATGTTTTCCCCCTACTGCCACCCGGTGACTGGACAGTAAAGGAGAAGCAAACAACTCTCCTTCACTGCTTCTCCTTTTGCTGCTTCTCCCTCTCCATATCTGAACTTTGCTGTACTGGAAATGCAAGAGGCTCATACCAAGTCATATTCGAGTATTTACACTGCAAAAACTGAAAAAAAAAAACCTATATATATATATATATATACATACTGAGAGAGGGAGATTGGTTTGGATGGCATTTTGTTTATAGGATATTAAACCCTAAAGCATCAATACATCATTCAAACTGACCTGCAGTGCTGTGTTATATCATTAGCTACGACAGTTCCACAGTTCACTATACAAAGCAATACTTGAAAGAAGCAATATTGTTCCTGTGAATTAAAGAAACCCGACAATCGTAATGTTAAAAATTAAGCCACTAGTTTTTCAACATATACATAACATTGTCAGGCATTTTAATTATCCTTCCTTTTTCTATAGACAACATATTGTGTTTATTTTTATTATTAGACTTTTCATCTGCTTAAAGACTTATAAAACCTACAATAATGATGGAAAATTGGTCATTTTCACAAGTTCATTTAAACCAATAGACCACATGTGTAATATATATATCTGCACTAATAGATTAAATACATGTGCCACATTGGTGCCCACATCCAAGGCTGCTTTCCTTTGCCAAATATCTACTTCTGGGGTTGTAGGGAGAATGACAATGATGCATTCCAACTTTAGCCTTTCTCTGATTTCTGTGCATCTGATTGGACTTTAGAAGTGAATATGAAGGTTGCATGGGTAGTATCATTTCTTTAGAAAAGCTCTATACACTTATTAAACCTGAACAAGAAATTGTCTTTTACTGATCCCTTACTTTTACATATCACCTAAATTTATAGATTAGCTTAATCCTAAAAGCTGAATTCCAGGCAGATGTAAAGACATAAATGAATACATCGCTATTTTCAGTAATGTATCAATAAATGTATTTTTTAATTTAAGCAACACATGTACCAGAATTTGACTTGGTATCAGCCTATTGCCACCCCATGAACAACAGATTTTAGACTGGAAGAGAGAGAAGCACCACAAGGAGCCAATCAGTTCATGCAATGACAATGGGCATACTAATAGGAGAAGAGAACAGAGTAGACATGTATACTGCCAAAAAATTTGTTTAGTTTCGTTTTAAATTCGGATTTGTGTTATTTAGTTTTTCGGGATTCGGGTGTGAAAGTCAATTCAGATTCGGAATTTGGATTCGGACGAAATTCGGTAGCGGTAGTTCATTCGAACGTTCGTTTCGTTTTCGTTTCTTATTCGTTTCATTCATTCGTTCGTTCCTTTGCAGCAAAGTGACATTTGAGGGGGAAAAAGTTTTTTCTTCAACGAACTAAACGAATAAGAAACGAAAACGAACGTTCGAACGAACTACCGAATTTCGGAAACGGAAATTCGGATTCGTTTGCATTCGTTATATCTGTAATTCGGAATTCGGATACATCCGAATGTCCGAATGTCCGAAAATTCGTCCGAACATGTCTAGAACAGAGTGACGGGGAGATGAACTCATAATTCTGCTGCTTTTTATTTCATTGTCCAGTCACAGGCTAGGGGAGGAACAAGACCTGCAAGTGTTACTGAACTGCAGCAGACAAAATCATGGTTCCTATCCTGCCACACAGGGGTGTGCTGTGTAAATGTGAAGACTGGATGGACAGAAATACAAATCTTGTAATGGGTAAATTCATTAGAATGCACCCTCAGTGCCTTCATATGCTTTTGAATGTTTTCCCAAGTACAAAGGGACCCCAAAAAACACAACTGTCGACTGGGAACATTTTAAACTCTACCTCCCAGGCCCCAGAGTCATCCTGAAAGTACATTAGATGAGGAGGGCAAATACATAAATCTTTCATGGCAGAGCACAAATTTTTCAGATTCTCAGGTAAGCCATATAATAATAGATTCTGTTTAAATGATTTTATTCAAGAATATATTTTATTAT